AGTCCCCAATTGATTCGGATAATCAACGCTCTACTGTATTTTTTTTTTTTTTCAAAGAATAGGAATCTTAAATTTAAATCATTTAACTATAATCCCTCTACTCTTCCTTTAAAAAAAAAAAATCTAATGGCAATTGTTCATATAATGTAAAGATCATATATTGTTACTTGTTATTAATTTATTTGAATAAATAAATGCCATTAAAGTACAATTACATTGTATAAGTGGTGATGTGATTTTTGTTATATGTGAGTATCATATTTTTTCCAATATTATAAATTCATGTAAAATATAAATTACAAACCATATTAAATGATAGAAGAGAATCATTTATTGAAAAAGTTTATAAAGATATTTCCGTTTTGAAGAAAAAATTAATAATAAAAATTTTTAGAGAATAAAATTGATTATGAAAAGATATTTTGGCAAATTCAAATAACTGAAAATAATGTGATAAAAAAATTCTTATTTATTTATTGTTATTAAATACATAAATAAGAAAATTACTTAATTAAAATATTAATATGTTATGTTTGATTTCTAAATTGAAAATTTTGTTAATTTTATTAAAGGATATTTCAAATAATGTTTAAAACAATTTGATGGCATAAGTTTTTTTTGTGTTCTTTTGAATCTCAAATTTTTTTTCAGTTTTTCATAATCTCAGTTTTTCATAAACAGTTTCAGTTGTTTGTAAAAATTTTTTATACATTTCATATCTTATAGCAGCAATTCCCAACTAAGAGTACATGTACCACCAAGGTGTACTCTTGGTGGTTTAGGGGTACACAAAAGAAAATTAATAATGGCATATTTACTATAAGAACATTTGGATTCTGCATTGAGGCCTTTGGTGACATCATGGCATTCGATGCTTAGTTTTAAATAAAAATATAATTATACAGTTGAACCTGTTTATCTTGAATCTCATGAGAACAAGAAAAAATTTGAGATAAACAGATTTAAAAATATAAAGGTTCCTATACAGTAAACAATAATAGGTTAATAGGTTAGATTGGAGGTGTAGTATTTTATTAATACAATAGCAAGTACAGTACACATCTGTATTAGGTATAAATAAAACACTTTTGACATATGTTAAAAGAAATAGTTTTTCATGCCTGAATTTCTTTAACCAATAAGACACAAGCCAAACTTGTAGTGAATCAGAGAAAAGCATCATTAATTGAAATTATGTACTGTATAGTAAGATGTTTCTCAACTGCAATTTATGCTATAAAAATGTAGTCACTGAGTTTTGAATTTGTAATTGACACTTTGATCCATAATTTGAGATATAGAGATTTGGGAGAAAATTATTTAAGATAAACCTGAAAAATATGTTGAATTTAGGCTGTTAGTGCAGTATAAAAAAAATAAATTTTGAGATAAAAATGTTTCAGATAGACAGTATTTTTACTATATGCCTATCTGTGTCCTTCCTCCAATACTTTTTGATTAAAAAAATTTTTTACATGTAATTTGTATGGCACTGTATAATTGAACAAGGCACCACTATTTGATGAACACTCAGAATAAAACTAAGCAGAAATGGGAAATAAAACTTAGGAATATGGGCTACCAAAGCATAGGCAAGTGAAAAAAAAGTTGGGAACAGCTGTCTTATAGTAATAACAATAATCTCAAAGTTATTCAAATTGTTCCAGTTTTTGATCTCATTAAAAACATAAATAATTGTTATGTTATTATTCCTTATGTTTTTCAAAGTATATTTAAAATTCAGTCGGCCATCGCATACCTGGCAAGGCGTAGATAATAGGCTGTTTAAAATTTAAAAATATATTCATTTTCAGTGAATTCTCATTAATTTAAATTCTAAAAACACCTCAAAAAATTCAAATTAACTAATGTTTGAAATATCAGAAATATCCAACAAAATAATATAATAAAGTAATAGGAAATACTAAATACGAAACCTGTTACCGGTGTAATTTTGCGTGAAAAAATCTTCCTTTCACAAACGTTTTTGAGCTGTCAAGAAACGTTTGTGAAAGGAAGATTTTTTCACTCAAAATTACACCGGTAACAGGTTCTGTATTTAGTATTTCATCCCTGGTGTCAGAGTGAAGTTAATTTACTTAAAGTAATAGGATTTGTGTTTTTACTTTAGGTATCAGGAAAATTAGCTACCGTTGATGCCACAACAGAAAGAGAACTTGCCACTAAGTATGAAATTAAAGGTTTTCCTACTAGTAAGTAAAATAATTTTTTTTTCTTATCATTAATAATGTAATAGCTTTATCAATAATATGTAGGAAGGTAGTGTGTAAAAATTAAAATTTTTAAAATATATATAATTCTTTGCTTATTGAAGAATTAATTTTAAATTAAAAAGATTTGTTTTGAAAATTATTATAATTCAATTAGAGCTATTCAATTAGACAAGGAATTCCTTCACATTGCATAAAAACTTATAATTAATAATTTATAAACTAATTTATAAATCATTAGCTAAGAAATTTAATTATATTATAATGTATTCCTACTACAGTAGAGCATCGATTATCCAACTCAATTGGTGACTGGGGTTGGTCGGATAACTGAAAAACGGATAACCGAAAACTATGAAAAAATACATTATTAGTATAGTATATTAGTATATCCCATGTAATTAGTATATTAGTATATCGCTATTAACCTACTTTGTGTTGAATTTTCATCGATGTTAAGCCTAACAAAACTTTTTTTAAATATTAATTGTCGCTATTGTATCATTAAAAATTATTTTTAAATTATTTTATTATTTACAAAACAAACAATTACTCATAATTATAAAATTAAGCTTCGTTTAAATACTGGTTTTCTTTTCATGGTCAAGCAGTGTTGCCAGCTAAAATACTCAAAAATTTAACAAAAATAATATTAAAGTAGCCAAGACATAGCCAAATATTGTAGTGCCACACCACTAGCTGACATTTGAATTTGCCGACTAGAATGTGGTCAGTTAACTGATGTGACAGTTGATTGGGGGTCAGATAATCGATGCTCTACTGTATATATAATCTATAATAATTAGAAATGAACAAATGAGTAACAAACAGTAGTAACAAATGAAAGTTGAGCAGTTACAGAATCAGTATAGGCCCTATAGAATTACAATATCAACAATAAAACAATGCATCAACAAACATTATATTGGATCTAATTAAATCTACAATGTCATTTGATAAATTTCTCAAACAGAAATATATTGGAGCAATGCTGAAATAATAAAAGAAGTAAAAAACTTAGATTGAATAAAATATTTTGAGCTACATGAAATCTACAAGCAAAAAATAAAAAGCAGATAAAGTAATGCCAAGTATAGTGAATCCATATAAACAACTTGGAAACAAACATTAAGTCTAAAAAATAATTAACATAAAATAAAAGTAAAATATTATTATATACTAAACTGAAGTGCCAAAAAATTATAGACAGCAACTTATGCAATGTTGTTTTCTTCTAAACACATGGAAAATGCTTTAAGCTGAAACATTTGCATTTGACATCATAGGTATGATACTTATTAGTTATGTGTGAGCTTGGTTAGAGTAGCAATGGGCCATGTAAAGGATTTATTACTGTTTGATCATGGACAGATTTTTTGAACAAAAAGAATGTGTCACTCTATCAGCGAGATGGCCAATGCTCTTGGATTTTCTTGTTTAACAGTTCAAGCACAGCGTGAATATCAGCAGCACGTGCATAGTGTGAGTGCCCATTGCTGATGCAAGAATGTGGCTGCTGGTGGCTAACAGGTTAATTAATGAGAATAGGATTTATTAATATTATTTATTTTTATTGAATTAAAATATTTCAGTGTTAAGACTTATGTTTGTTTAATTTTGTTTTATGCTTGTAAGAATTGAAATTTAAATGTTTAAATGTATTCAAATTATTATATGTTGATATAATCTCAAGATGTTTTTAAAAAGCTGAAAATATTAGTTTAATTAATAAAACTTCTCCTGCTATATTATAAAGATTTTGAATATGTTTTATTTAAATTGATAATATAAACTGTAGTTCTCTGATTTCACAATTACCATTTTCAGGTTATGTATTTTGAAACATGAAACAAAAAGATATTTTAAAATTTGTTTGCAAAAAAATCAAAAAGTGAAAAATAAATTTTGTAACTATCAACGTAAATTGTATGTTAAAATATAAAAATAACATCATAAACAGAAGAAATAAACTTAAATTAATAGCTTTAATATTAAAAATATGTGATGATAAATGAAAATCATAACGGGGTTTAGCATCTAAATTTTAATTTTCTTCAATAAACAATTATTTCTATATGATAGGAAGTGGTTCATAGTCTCTAATATTAAAGTAATTATCATTCAAGATGCTTATTTTTATAGTGTATTTCCTTAAATTTAACCAAAATCCATCCAATAAACAAAATGTCAATAAATATATCACACTAACCTTATAATGCTTTGCAATTAGAAATTTGGAGGCATTAGAGATTTTTAAAGCAGAATGCCAGGGCCTTTCAATCAATTTTAAAGATGAAAAGCAACTCTCGAGGACATAGTACGCTATGACCCAGCATTATAACAGACAATGGAGGTGCACATGCAGGTGCAGATGATCATTAGGAATTAAAAATATAAAAGGGAAATTCAAAAGGAAATTAGAATGCACCGGAAACAGAATAGAATGGAATCACACCAGAAAAGGTTTTCTCTAGAACGCCACCTGAAGAAGGTCCTAGGGTAGACCAAAAACGTTTGTGATATGTTACAAAACAACTGCAAAGTATTATAAGCTTAGTGTGATATACTTAAATTTAACATTATTACTCTATTAATTTTTCATAGAATCTGGCTTCATTCCATTTTATCATAGAATTATGAAAGAGTTCAAACATTAGTTTTTATGTTTTTAACTTGAAAATGACTGTATTTGTGGAGTTAAATATCATTTCTTGTTTTTTTTCATAAATTACTGGAGGCATTTAATTTCAACATGTAAAATCTAGTATATTTATTTATTTATTTATTGCATATATGAAAGGAAATGTCATAAGACAATTGATATCCTCCCCAAAAACAGTGCTCATAACAAAAGATTAAAATACAAATAACAAAAAATAAAAATAAATAGACATGAGTAAAAAAATAAAAAAAAACAAAAGATTATATATTATAAACTAACCATTTTAAAAATGTGTTTAAAATGTAGAAAATATTTATGTAGAGATTGTTCCACACAGCCCAAATTCAGAATAGACCAATAGAAAAAGGACCTGAAAGAAATGGAAAGCCTAAAAGATGGGGTAAAAAAACAAGTTTGGTTATGAGTAACATATGGCGGAACTCTTAGGTATAGCAAATCAGAACCATGGAAATATTTGTATAAAAGTTAATAGTCAAAGTATTTGATATGTTCGGTAAAAATGGGAATTTCCAATTTGGATCTAACCACATTAGCATTAGGGGTAAAANTAAACTGGAATTTAATTTTAACAAACTTTGGCACCATCTCATATTAAATTAAATTTAATATAAGATGGTGCCTAATGCCTCCCTCTAGGGTCAAATTTATTAGTAATTTATAATTATCACCAATAAATAGCCCAATGTTATATGGCAATTGATTTAGTGTTATTGTAATGTATCAGGTTTTGTAAGATGTTTATATTTATAAAATAAATAAAGATTAAGAATAAAAGTAAAATTAAGTCCTTAAAATGATTATAACACTTCCTCAGCATGATTTTTGGTTTCTTTGAAGATGGTTGGTTACCTGCATTTTCATGAATCTTTATTTAAAATATCAGTTAATTAATTAAAATATTAAATGTTAGTTTGAAGTTCGGTATATCTGAGCATCATTGCTGTATTGTATTATGTTATATACAGACAGTATCTGGTTAAAATATGTAAGTCTATGCATGATGTTTAAAATTGTATTCAATTATTATCATCATTTTTATGTTCAACTTATGATGAAAATCTATTGTAAGTCAAAGGCTGTTTGAAATTTGCTGTCAACTATATTAATATCCATCTTGGAATTCTAATATCATTTCACCAATAATAGACATTATTCTGGACATTCTACATTTTCAGAAAACAAAATCAACATGTAAATAAAATTTTGTATTTATTATACTATGCTTTAAACTTAATCCAGAAAATGACATTCTTTAGTTATTTTAAGAAGAAAGTAATAAGCATGCCAGTGAAGTCATTAAACAACAATAATATTGTCAATTACCCATAAAGACTTTGCAACTGCTTTGCCCATATAATTAATTAACTTCTTCATGATCTCTTTCAAGTGCACATCAATATAAGTCTGTGTGGATTATCTACAAATATAGGAAAAGCAAACTATTTGTATGAGGAAAGTATAGACAGTAGTATAAAAATAGAAAATGTAGAATTTATAACATGTGGTCATTACAGTTATTCAGGAGTAGAATTAAGCTAAGATGGGAGTGCTAATTGAACAATAGTATAAAGTTATAAACTCTGACCTTCTATCTAATTTATTAGTAAGTTAAAATCCAAAAATTAACAAAATAAGACTTACTAGAAATGTGAATGTTAAATTTCATTTCTAGTTAGTTCATTTTTAGTTAGTCTATTAAATTTCATTTTTAGTTAATCTAATTATAAACTAAAAATAGTTGGTTTATAATTAGCAAGTTTTCATTAGTAAAGTTTAATTAACACTAATGCATTAAGTGATACAACAATAAATGTAGGGAAAAAGTTACTTAGTTCTGAACAAAATTACTAGTTATTTCAAACAACAATATATTTATAATAATGCTCAATATTTGTTTTGGTCCACCTGGCTACTTCTTCTTCTATCCAGCTAGTAAAAATTTCTGGGGAGAACACTGCAAATTTTTAAAAAAGTTTTGATGCAGTTGAAGAAGCAATATGTTGCAGATGAAAAAGATGTATAAAGAATGCAAAATAGATCTGTCATAAACAAATGTATTAATACAAGTACTGTTTTATCAGTTATTATTGTTATTTTATTTTTAAAAGGAAAAGATCTTTTAAGTATATGAACAACTTTACAATATTTATTTTCTTTATTATAAACTTAAGTATTTATTATAATGTATTTCTCTTGCTTAATTTTATTATAACAACTTATTACTATTTACATTTAAAATTTTCTTTCAGGAAAATGATTTTGTAACATTTATGAATAATCCTCAAAATCCAGTATCTAGTTCTTTGCCATCTGAAACATCACCAGAACAATGGTGGGCTGAAATTGATGGTGCTGATAATCTTAATCACCTGACTGCATCCAATTTTGATAATTTTATTAATCAACATACTTCAGTCTTAATAATGTTTTATGCACCATGTAAGATTTATATATAATGATCTTTTAAAATAATTTTTAAATTTTGGAACATAAAATAATTTTCTTTACTTAGGGTGTGGACATTGTAAAGCAATGAAACCTGCATTTGCTCAAGCTGCTTTAATCCTGAAAAATGAACAGGTATTTCTAACTATAAATAAAATAATATACAGGTAACCCCGTATAACATGGTAATTACATTCCAAAAAATTGCCATGTTATGCGAATCTCTGTTATATGAAACAAAGAACTAATATGAAAAGGAGGGTTAGGTTCCAAAAATTAAAAAACATGCTATTATATTTTCATAATTAAGATAAATATCTTTATTAAAATTTTCTTAAGTGATACATATTAATATAAATTAAACAATGTTTTCTTCATCATCACTAAAAGCACTATTAACCGAGAGCATTTTCTTTTTGGCAAGTTATCCTTATTCTCTGAGCATTTTTCTGCATTATCTTCAGATTCATGCTTTACCTTTTGCAAAAAGTATGTAATTTTAGATTGCTTGCTTCTAGTTAAAAGATCTTTATAAATTTCCTTATATGGTGCTAAGCACTTATGGA